CCCCAAAACCCCAAAACCCCAAAACCCCAAAACCCCAAAACCCCTTCTCTTTACATTCAAATTGAAGTGGATGTAGTAATTTTTATTCTGAAATTATTCTTAGAGGAAGCAACGTTGGTGGTTGGTTCTCCCTTCCTTCTGTTTTTGTAGAGTTAGATGTAGGATCATGGATGTATACCTTTGGTGAAGATTTTCTGTTTTGGGTTCTATTTCTCACAATGTGCTTGATGATTTTTCCATCTCATTGGTTAGCAATAAGGCTTCGCCTCCGTTTTCGATATCTCAAGAATTAGCAATACTGCTAGTGGACATGCTTTTTAAGGTTGGAGTTCTTTGGTTATCGAATGTACTTTCGTTCTGGTCTTCACTTTGTGTTCACGAAATTCCTTCCTCTTCCTTATAATAATGGTCGGGATCAAGGTCGTATTTTAGGCTCTTTATTCAGGGCTCATTCACGACATTAGAAACCAGGCGATCAAGATCCACTGATAGGCTTTGTAGTACTGGGTGGTAGTCCTTCGCTAGAGAAATTCGAAGGGGTTCTTTGGGTTCACCTACCTTCTGAGAATTAGGGACACCAAGAGTCCTATTTCAAGGATGTAATTTGTTGGCCTCTCGTTCAGATTTTTTAAGTCTTTCTTCTTCCTGTTTCTTGATGGTGTCTAGATAATACTGAAGTTTCTTCTCCTCTCGAGTGAGTCTTCTCTGAGGGATCTGAAAGCCATCAGGTGTGCTATTGTCACCAATATAGACTTCTTTTTGGTCGAAGTCATTTCTTGAGATGTTCTGACGCTTAACTCTAGCACTATACATGTCTGTTTCATATTGATCGTCACTATCATCATTGATTCTACTCTTTCTCTTACGTCTTGTGGTTCTTCTTTTATTATTCTTAGCCTTTGGGCCGGTTATTAATTTGCCTGGCATATTTATTATGATTATTAACTTCAACAAATAATTTCTAAGTGGGGTTTTGGGGTTTTGGGGTTTTGGGGTTTTGGGG